GTGGCGTGTGAATTTTCGTGACGGACAAATTTTGATGGATATTCGGTTGCAAGCATTCTGGCAAGTTATCGTGGATTATCTCTGTTTGCTGTGTCTTATCAGTAAAGGCTTGGCAGGCAGCTACAAAGTTGCTGCCAAGACATTCCTTTGTCTTTGTCTGTGCCGAGCAGTTTTTCAGGCCTCGGCTGACTGGTTGGGGGGTGTGAGTCGGACGGGGGACAGAACAGGAGGATTGGGGTGCTGGGGTAGCAGAGGCAGGCCTGGCGGTTAGCACGTATGAGAACAACGCGGCTGGATACTGTGAATGTTGCCAATGGAAGCCTAGAGACTCAACTAACTTTCCTTGACGGTTGGCCCAGGAAGGAGGCTAATTGCAAGGGGGAGAAAAAAATCTGTCAGGAAGTGTTGGTTCCACTACTACTACTACTACTACTACTACTACTACTACTACTACTACTACTAATAATAATAATAATAATAATAATAATAATAATAATAATAATAATAATAATAAAGTTGGAAGGGACCTTGGAGGTCATCGAGTCCAACCCCCTGTTCAGGCAGGAAACCCTATACCAGTGATGGCGAACCTTTTAGAGACCGAGTGCCCAAACTGCAACCCAAAACCTACTTATGCATCGTCGGGTGCCCATTGGGTGGGCATGGCTGCGGTGGTAACGGCAGACTGGGTGGGATTAAAAAGTTCAATCAATCAATTCCAACTTTGCAAGATCTTTTTTTTTCCTCAAGAAGTTGAAATTGGCTGATTGATTGAACCTTTTTTTTTTGTACACGGTGGCGGAGGCCTAAAGCGAAAGGGTTTTATAAAACCCAGCTGAAGGCCTAGGACTGGGCCGACGGCGTGCGTGCCCACAGAGAGGGCTCTGAGTGCCGCCTCTGGCACCTGTGCCATAGGTTCGCCACCACTGCCCTATACCATTTCGGACAAATGGCTGTCCAGTCTCTTCTTAAAAACTTCCAGTGTTGGAGCATTCATCGCTTCTGGAGGCAGGTTGTTCCACTGGTTAATTGTTCTAACTGTCAGGAAGTTTCTCCTTAGTTCTAAGTTGCTTCTCTCCTTGATTAGTTTCCATCCGTTGTTTCTTGTCCTGCTTTCAGGCGCTTTGGAAAATAGCTTGACTCCCTCTTCTTTGTGGCAGCCCCTGAGATATTGGAACACTGCTATCATGTCCCCCCTCGTCCTTCTCTTCCTTAAACTAGACATACCCAATTCCAGCAACCATTCCTTATATGTTTTAGCCTCCAGTCCCCTAATCATCTTTGTTGCTCTTCTCTGCACTCTTTCTAGAGTCTCAACATCTTTTTTACATCGTGGTGACCAAAACTGGATGCAGTATTCCAAGTGTGGCCTTACCAAGTGCAGGGGTAGGCAGCCTTGGCTCTTTTATGACCCGTGGACGGCTCAGGAATTCTGGGAGTTGAAGTCCACGAGTCATAAAAGAGCCAAGGTTGCCTACCCCTGGCACTAGGTAGACCAGACCAGGAAATCATCTCCACAGGAACACTGCTGGAACTATTTCTGTGGAGGTTGGCTGTAAGTAGCAGAATCCTGCATAATAAGCCCAAGCCTTCTTCAGAGGTTGTGGCTGCTCCATCACTGGAAGTTTTTAAAAAGAGATTGTCATTGCCATTTGCCTGACATGCTATAGAGCAGGGGTTGGACCGGAACAGGGGCCTGTTCTTCACGTGGACTGCTTCCTTTTCTCAGAAAGGCTCAGGAGAGCCAGAAGGAGATGAAGCTTCTCCTGGACATGTACAAGTCAGCCCCCAAGGAGCAGCGGGACAAGGTGCAGCTGATGGCAGCCGAGAAGAAGACCAAAGCCGAGGTGAGACAAGGGTGCGGCCTATCCAGAGATACGAGTCTTCCCAAAGTTCCAATTCTTCTGCTCACTCTTTGTCACAGGAGACCTGGACCTGTGTATCACTCCAGTGCCTGGGTCTGCTAAGCTCAGCCCCCTTAGAGGCTGCCAGGTTTCATGCTCTTCGGTGCTATCCTATGTTTCAGGATCTGGTTCTGGGCAAGACAGTGTGACTTTAGGAAGAAAATGGCCACGGCTTCCTCATGTAGGGACGAACCAGCTCCCCAAAGAAGGGTTGGCTGTGCTTTAGATGAATAACTCTATGACCATTTGTCATTGGGGTTGGTTCTCTTTAGTTTGACCTGCCAGGTGTACGTGGAAGGATTCTCTCCTGGGGTGGGGTCTCAAGTGAAGAAGTTGCCCCTGCTTTCGTTGACTCATTTCTTTGGGCAGGTGGAAGAGTTGCGGGGGAGGATCCGTGAACTGGAGGAAAAAGAGAAGAAAGAGAGTAAGAAAATGGCCGACGAGGATGCCTTACGCAAGATCAAGATGGCCGAGGAACAAATTGAGCATCTGCAGAAAAAACTGGCAGCAACCAAGCAGGTATTTATTTCTGGGAGGAATTTGTGCTGCCAGAAACGATGCCCCAGAGCAGGGCTTTTCAACCAGTGGTACGGTACCACCTGTGGTACATTGGCACCTGGCAGGTGGTACGCGACCATCCTAGAAAAGTGGTAGCGGGGGAGGGGAATGAGCTGAACCGGTGGCACACTGCACAAGCCTGAGCGAGAGATGGCTGGAGCTGCAGGGCTGTCGGGGCTCAGCGGAAGCGCCAGGATCAGTGCCGCTTTCCAGCTGATCGGTGCTTCTTCGGGGCTGTTGGGGCTCAGTGGAAGCGCCAGGATCAGCGCCAGGCTCCAGCGGGAGCTCAATGCTGATCCTGGTGCTTCTGCTGAGCCCAGAAGAAGCGCCAATCAGCTGGAATGTTGCAGCATCTCCAGGGTCTTGTGATTTACATTCAGATGCTTGGCAACTGATTCATATTTATGACGGTCACAGTGTCCCAGGGTCATGTGAAGTGACCAAAACCTGCTGCAACCACCCAGCAGACGGGGGGAATAAAAACCAAACACCCCCCCACCCCACCCCCACTGCCAATCCTCAACAGAAAT